GTTCAGGATCATGGTTACATCTAACTGAATCGCACTCAGGTTTGTAATCAGATGGACAAAGGTGCAGAAAACCAGAAAATTCCACATTCTGTATTAGATCAGGATGCCTGAAAATGTTAGGCGAACGAGATTTGTATCCTAAGTCAAACAAATGTTTTTAAATACCACGGCTTATATGCTTTATATATGCCTACATACGCAGAGTTGTGTGTACTTGCAACCATTTCTTTACCGTATTATTCAGGTTGTTCTTCGTCACAGAAGACCCCAATGTATTTTTAAAGGCAAAGCGATCAGCCTATCTACAATTAAAATGAAGTTACCTGGAGGCAAAAGGTAGGAGTTATTTAATGAAATACAGCTACCTTACACAAAAGTATACGGCAGGGAGTGAAGAATAACAGATCCACTTGAAAACGTAGGAGGAATCTGTAATGCAATTGTCTAAACTTAAATTTGATCTGCTCTGGCGAAGTGATCAGGGAGCTGTTCACAGGGCAAAACGTGAATACCAGCGGTAGCACATTACTCCATGGGACTATTTTGGCGTATTTATTCCTTAAAGATTCTGAGGCAAGAGTGCTTGCTTAAAGATGTTGCAACAAACACGGGTTACCTTATGAAGTATCCAACTACAAGAGCACAAAGAAGCACCGTTGCTGTCAGGGCTCTGACACGCACTTTCCCCTAGCGATTCACGTGCCTCACAGGACAGAAATGTAGGTATCTGTCCATTTCTGATTTCAGCACAGTGTAAAATTCTTCAGAGTATTTAATCATAGTGATTGACTTAATGGTCCCTGCCAAGTCACTTTCATCCTTGACTGGTACCCAAACGATCAATAAGCTCGACCATGCCAAAAGAGGGGAAAAAAGAGAGAGAAGGAGAGAAGAAGGAAAGAAGGAGAGAAGAAAGAAAGGGAGAGAGGAAGGGAAGAGGCGGGGAGGGAAGGAAAGAGGGAGGGAGGGACAGAAGGGAGGGAAGGAGGGAGGGTAGGAAGGAGGGAAGGAAAGAGGGAGGAAACTACATGAAGATTAAGCATCTAGTATAAAACCACAGCTTGAACCCAGGATCTCTCAAAAGCTTAGGGGATCCTAATATTTAACAACAAAACAGCCACAATAAAAAATGTGACATCACAATGTTTGGGGGCTGTTTTTTTCTTTTTTTTCCGGTTAAAGAAACGCAAATCATCCATTAGCGGTAATATCATCAAATATGCTTAATATTTGCCTTAGGAGCTAAAGTGCTATTTTTCAAATGCATCTAAATCACTTAGGACCGCAAGGATGTTTGAGTGTTAGCAGCACACAAAAACCACTTGGGCATCCTATTTTCAACTTTAGGGTTTGTTTTGTTCATATTGCAACATCCACCTGATCAGTCAAAATTTCATTTTCAAAAGTAATGCACATACCTCAGAGCTTAAATCATTTTGGAAGTCAGACATGACCTCTAACAGCATGAAATAAGAAGTAGTTTCCTAAATAAGTTAGGCATTGTGATGCTGAGCAACGCTGTCTGCATTAACAATAATAATAATAATAATAAAGTTTAAAGCTGGGTCTTCAATATCTATTTCTCATCCACTGTTACTGATGAAGTATGTACCCAGAGGAATCACAGAACCACAGAATCACAGAATGGCTGAGGTTGGAAGGGACCTCTGGAGATCATCTAGTCCAACCCCCCTGCTCAAGCAGGGTCCTCTAGAGCATATTGCCCAGGAAATTTGAGTATCGGAGCTGAAAAGTGTTTTCAGGAGAAAAAGGGCAGAATTTTACTCTGAGCACACAAAAGAGGCAAATACTGGAACTGAGCTCAGTCGTGCTGTTCTGGAAGCACGATTCCTCCTTCAGTTTTGAAACACTCTTAAAAAATGGATTCAAGTTACATGTACACCACACGAGTAAGTTTATATACATGTATAAAGGAGTAAGGAGGAATTATATCAGAATTCTTTTGAAAATACTGGGAGAAAGGGGGATTTCACCCATCCCACACTACCTACTAAAGGGAACTAGTGAAATTTCGTCATGACTGTGTCAGATGCTAACGTGGTGCTGCCCGTGAGAGCAGCACGAGGCTGGCATCACCTGTGTAATCGCAGCTCTGCCGCGCTGCAGAGGAAGCTACGAGGCCCACAAAGTTTCATTAGTCACTCTCCAAGACTTATGTGTCTGCAAGGGAAGCCTGCAGGCAGCACGCGTCTCCGTGCAATACATACCCTTGCCTCTCTCTAGTAAACAAACCTGTACGTTTCTGAGGAGGCCAGTTAGCGTCATTCAGCACTCGCAATTAAATCTAGCCTTGCCGTATGCGAGCCGCACGCAGTCTCGCGGCTGCGGAGACGAGTTCAGGCAGCCGTACGCAGGGCCAGACCCTACTCAACACTGTTGACTTCACTGAAACAGAGAACGGATGCGAATGAAGGGGGAAGGATGGCACACGCTGCTCACCCACATACCCACACCTAAACACATTCGTGGCCGTGCAGACTTCCTCTTTTACACCTGCGCTGGCGGGTAAAGCATAAACCATCACTCTGCCGGGATTATTCACTACTATATTCTATGATGCTGTGATACTATAGCATATATGCATATATTCATACATAAACATATGCTCATATAAATCCATATATGCACCTGCATATATATACAGAAAGCCACATCCACTGACTTGTTCAGCACAGGCCATAAACACTGCATGCCCTTCCACGTCCACATGCCAAGCACATATAAAAACACACGCATTGCATCCACATGGAGAAATGCAAACACCCAGCTCAGAAAGGTATACAAAATATCAACCCATACAGAAGCGTACACAAAATATTACCACTTGCAAGCAGCTATTCATGACTGCCTGCCAAATCCTTAGCTGACACACATACACACACACATGTACACACACAAAGACACAGCATATGCAGAAAGGCATACACAAAAAAGGGGAATAAACATATGCACATACATACGTACACAGATGCACGTAAGCATTCATGCAAAAACACATGCACACGCTCACATGCACACGCTCACACAAATATGCACCAAAAGCATATGCACACACACATCAATGCACACAAAAGCACGCTCAAGCACACAGATACACACACAGAGGCACATACGCACAATCACATATACACACATATGTGCAAACACACGCCCACTCATGCAGACACACACACACAGATGCACATATACATGCACACGTGCACACACAATCACACACCCCTATGGACACACACAAAAGCACACACCCGTGCACAGAGAGATACATGCATGCGCACAGAAGGACAAATGCATGCAGGCAGACATACACATATGCACATGTGCACACAGCCACATATGTATCAACATGCACAAACACATCCACATGCATAGGAACACAGTAGCACATACCTTCACACACAAACATGTTCACACACGAGCAACCATGCACAAACACTCATCAGCAATCACATACACCTCCACCCACACTCACACAAACACGGACATTCACAAACACACACAAAACAGCACACATGGGCACCCAACACACACATATATTCACCTACACACATGCTCACACGTCATGTCCAAACATGCACAAAAACAAACGCATACAGACACACACCTGCACACATATATTTGTGTCCATATGTACATGTGTGCATGCACCCAAGCTCACACAGGTGCACACACATACATGCACACGTATACACAAATATGCACAAATACACATACATGAGTGGACTCACACATGCACATGCATACACAAGTGCACATGAATGCACTCACACACATGCACACATGCACACACTCATACATGCACACATGTCCACACGTATGCATATGCACAAATACACGTGCATGAATGGACTTGGGACTGACAGGCCCACACATACGCAAGCACACTCGAATGTACACACGCACAAATGCACATACACACACATGTACACACTTGCATCACAAGCACGTGCACGCACATATGCACACATAATAAAATGCATAAAATGCATGCACATGTGCACACCTGAACGCACACTCACACGTGCACACACAGACAGCTGTGCAAGCACGAAACACGCATGCACACGCACGCACCTATGCATGTGCACACGCGCACTTAAGGTACGCACGCAACCGTAAACACGTGCACACACAAATGCGCGCACACCCACACGTGCACACACGCCCGCCTGCAGGAACACACCCAAACGCGCACACGCGCAGGCACTCA